AAAGAACTTTCATACTTTTGTAATCATGATTCCATCAATGTACCAAAGCCTTCTATGATGATAGCCATGCATCATCATTATCAACAACAACAAAAGATTACTAAGCAAAACAGTCAAATTAACTATCATTGTGCTGTTTGATCACACAGTAACGTATTTTGTAACACTGAATACATTGTTGGATCAAAAAGAAGTGTCAAATCAATTGTTATGGTTCTGCTAACATCTAGCAAATTACTAGAATAATTCACTAATTTTTAAAAGTTGGTAGTGTCATAAGTCACTGCTAACTTATCATTCCATATTTTCAACAACATATCATTGTCCAGTGACACATTTTATGTGATATTTCAGGGTAAATGTATTCATGTAGTTAGTTTTAAAATAGGAGCTATCAAACTTCTATTAAAATTATGTTTATTCATCCAAATTTGTGGTTTTTAACATTTTCTTATATATTATTATAAAAATCACATTTTCTAACATAGAATGAACCTACAATATTGGATTTATGTATTATTCAATTCAATTCAACAAACAATTATTGAATACCTATTGTGTAAATCATTGTGCAAGCTTTTATCAGGAAAAGGAAGTGGATGATACAATTATTGCCCTCAAGGAAATTAAGTGCAGTCGAACTAGAAAAGAAAGCCAATTGACTGGGTTTTAAACATGTTAGTACATTGAAATACTGTTCTGAGACTGATGCTTTCATTATAGACAAATAGATAGAGATCTATATTTCCATAAATCTCTCTATCATCTTCCTATATATGTCTACCCTATCTATCTATCTATCTATCTATCTATCTATCTATCTATCTATCTATCTAACTATCTGCCTATCTATCCACTTCTCATTTAATGTCTCCTCCTTGATTTAAAAAGCATTTTTACTAATCACAAAAATATTTTCCAATATTTAAAATTAACACATTTTTTATCAACACATGCTTTCAAAAACTTTTTATACAAATAAAATTAAATTTAAATAATTGGTGGAATATTAATTATTCACAAATAGGTAGAGTCAATATAATAAAAATGAAAATTATACCCAAACTAATTTATATATTCAACACCATCCCAAATAAATTATCAAACATCATTTTTCTGAATTAGAAAAAAATAACAAAATGCATTTGAAAGAATGGAGGTTAAGCAGTACCAGGTCTTAAACTACATTACCAGGCAGTAATTAGCAAAACCATACAGTACTAGCTAAGAAATAGAAAGATAGATCAATGGAATAGAGTTTACATACAATTTATAGCAGCAAACATAATAACCTTGTATATGACAAATGTAAAGACTTGAGATTTTGGAATAAAAATACATTATCTGGTAAAAATTATTAGAAAAATTGGAAAACAGTATGGCAGAACCTGGACATAGGCCAATATCTTACACTATTTACTAAGATAAGGTCAAAATGGATACATAACCTAGATATAAAGAGAAATATTACAAAAAAATAGAAGAACATGGAATATATTACTTATAACATATTACCGTCCAGCACATAAGCACCATATAATGGGAGACTTTTAAATGGAACAGAAAAAAATCCTGCTTACAGGTTGCTATAAGATAAAATGCAAATGGTAACACAAATTTTTGAATTTTATTCTGCTTTTTATACTAGAGGGTGGCATGTTTCTATTTATTAGTTAATACAAATGAGGAATGTTTATATTTGTATTACCTTCATTAGGAAAAAAGAAAGCAGTTTTATGGTCAAGTTAGAATAATGGTTTCATAGAATGCTAGAGCTCTAAGTCACCCAATCAAACTTAGGTTAAATGACTTGCCCAAGTTGATTCAATTAATTTCATTGAATTTTACTTTTCAAGTGGGTGCTCTTTGTAACTCAAATACTTTTTATCATTATTATAACTGACTTCTGGAAGAATATGCATAGGAATACAGGACCTCCAAATAGTCAAAAGAACCATAAAAAAATCCTCCAAGAATGATGTATTCAAGAGCAATAGGAATTCTTTCTTCTCTTCTTTTCACACTGACATAGAAACATAAAGAGTTGAACACAATGGGAAATCTGTATCCCACCAGTCCCTTTACAGGGGAGAGCATCAACAGGCACTGCCTTCATACAATTTACTTTCCCTACAATAAAATTCAATCTTTCATTGAGCCTTTCTGCTGACAATAACTGAACACTTACTCTATGTTCAACCATAATAAGTGCTTTGGTTAGGAAATTTGATTGGAAAGATGAATGATTTCTGTGAGGCTCAAATGAGACAATGGGCATAAAGTATTTGGTAAACTATAAAATACTATATATTATAAGTAATATATAATGTAAAGCATCATCATTATTATTATGTTTCAATAACTGAATGGAATAGAGTTGGATATAATTATTCTGGGAGGAAGTGTGAAAAGAAGCAAGATTTGATCCCATTATGAAAATTTAGTGTAATGCTTTTCCTTTCACAGTGATTTATAGGAATGATAAGGAAAGAATTATTTAAGGGAATACCATGAAAATGGAAATATCATACAGAATTTGTCCAAATGGACCTCTCTTTGACTATCTCCTCTCTAAGTTATCCATTTATTGTCCCTCCTGCAATCAATTTCCCATGCTTTTGCTCCAGTATTAGAGTCACCATTTCTATTCTTTTCTTAGAATTTTGTTCTTTTCTTTACAATCCTAAAGTGATTTTTCATCACATGGAACAGAACCAATCTACCTACATTCAAGTTTTCTATCCAGGTACCCTATATAATGTAACTGTCCTTGATCTCATAGACATGACTTATCCCCATCTGGAAAATTTGTGCCAATCCATGCCCTCAGTTGGCACAGTCACTTCTTAAAGTCCCAAATTATTATCCTTTGTCATTTTTTTTTGAAATGTGGCTCTTCTATTAGAAATTGGCTGATAAGTTGTTGTAACATATAAATCCAAATTTGCTTACTACCCAATTAAATCTATTTAATTGGTTGCTTATATATAATGTAATATTTTTTCAAAGTTTGCCTATTTAGTTTTTTTCTGTATACCAATGGTATCCATTTGCAGTCATAAACTCTAGAAGTACAGAACAATTATTGCTTGATATAACCTTCATAATACCTTGCCATAAATAATCATGAATTTAATTATCTTTTAATTACTATCTTTTCCCTTTCTTCTAGATCTAGTTTCTCCTTTTCTCTCCAGGCATACAAATGTTTCCTTAATTAATTATGACAAAACAAGCACAGCAGCTGCTTTTGAGCTGCTTGATAGTTAAGAGAATGGATGAATGGCTTCTGTAACATTCTCATATTCACTTATGGTAAAGTTAACACTTCTTCTCTTGTGTGTATGGGTTGGCACATGACACATCATAGTTGATCTATTTGAAATAGTTGAAATATTATAAGATGAGATCTATGAAATATAAGCCTATTTGTTATCCAAATAACAGGATGTTATTTTTTTTTCTGATAGAATAGCATTCTAAATGACTAGTTCTTCAATAACATTGTGACAAGAAATTGAGGTGATTGTATATCATTATGAATAAAAATGCAGTTTATTGCTCATATTAACCTAAGTTACTCACTATAGTGATTTGCATTATTAAATACAGGAGATAACTAAGGACTTTGTGGTCTTTGTGTTTCAATTATCTAAAGGATTGTGTCAATTTTCTGTTCATTACCTAGATCCAGGTAATAGATGTTAAAGACATAAAAGATGGAGCTAATGAAGATAATCAAATGTGTTAACACATCAAGTCTCATTTTTCACATAAGACAACTTAGGCCTAGAGAGCAAAAATTATTATTATATCCCTTGAAACATCCAATACAGTTCTGATGAACATAAGTAACTTGAAAAATCCTTATTGGTTTATTAATATACCTATTTAATAAAAACGTTGTCATCATATACATTTGTTTTCTTTTTTGAGCTTATTATGGGGATTTATTGATGACATCTTTCATAAAAGTTATTACAAGAACTCATAAGTTGCATTGATTATGCCCCAGAATATGAGGGGTTGATGGTAATTCAGATGGACACCTCTGAAAAGATGTGTCAATTTCCCATTATGCTCTAGTCAGATTTTTCCAAAAACCTTGGTGGAAAAACTGAAATTCCCCACCAATGCGAGACTGCATTCGAGTTTTGACAACATTCAGTGGAAAAAACAAGAATCCCAACGTGGCACCCAATAGACCTCCATGGATTATATCATCAATCAAATTTGCTTCAGGCAAATGTTCTTTGATGTGTCTTCAAAGGCCAAAAATAGTTCAGCTGAGTCCATTACCGAAAGAATGGATATCAAAACTTGATAATATTCTCTCTTACTCTCTCTTCCATTTTGCTACATATACATGTTTTCATACTTGACGTAATCAAATAAAGTCAATTAATCTGACACAGCCTACTGTGGAATCAGGGAGAAAGGTTGAAACCCAGCCTCAGACACTTACTAGCTGTAATCCTGGGCAAAACATTTACTCCCTATAAGCCTCAATTTCCTCATCTGTAAAATAAGGAGGTTGGACTCAATTATCTCTAAATTTCCTTTTTAGTTCAAAACCTATGATCCTAGGAATTCAATTTAATTTTATTCAACAAGCATCTGTTTAAATAATTTACTAAATGCCTGAACCTTTTAGGAATATGAAGATGAGAAATAAACATAAACCAAAGGATAAATGACTTAGAACCGAAAGATACTTTAGAGTCAAATTCAAATCCCTCAATTGTGCAGATTAAGAAACTGAAGCCTACAAAAATTATATTGTTTGCCCAAGGCCACACATAATAATGCCTGGGAGAGGATTTGAAGCCAAGTACTCTCACTTCAATTCTAGTTTGTTTGTTTGTTTTTTTCCATTCAAACATACTGACTCTAATGATGATCAATGGCAATTGCTTTGTAAATGATGAGTAAGAACAAAATAACATTCAATTGTGGGAAAAGAACAATAACATGCATATAAAATCATATCAAGTACTTACTGGAACAAGGAACTTTTTAATCTCTTCCAATGCATGACTCATACGTGAATAAGCTTCCCCAGGTGGAGCAAAGACTTCGATTAACACATGAAGTTCATCACTCAAGTGTGCATATTTGGCTTCCCCACTCTTCCTTAGTTCTTCTTCCTGTGAGATAAGTTATTTTTAGAATGAAAAATCTACTTGTTTTTTTCAGTGATTCCTCATTGACAGAGAATATGATGAAAGGGCATAATCTAGTCAGATGTTCCATAAATGGGAGCCCTTTGAGAAATTAAATCTGGTATAAGCCTCTTAAAGAATTTTTAAAATCATTTTTGAGTGTTTGAGTGATAAATCTGGCATAATTATCATCTACAACAGATTTTAATCAGCATTGTGTAAATGCTAAACATCTCAAAAATGGTTACAGAAATATCATTATCTCTTTATTATGCAGTTTCTATTAAGACTAAATAGATGTCCTTACTAAAAAGTGGCAGTATGTGTGTCAGTATGTCTGTATGCTTATCTGTGAATTTTGAGAGCCTCCTACCTCAAAGTATATAGGCATAAAATAATCTAAAAAAGTCTTGGCAACAAGACTTTGTCCATTAAGTGATTATAAACCTTTTTATTACTGTGTAAAGAAGAATCTTATGTCCTTGGAAAGAGCTACAAAGAAGTTTGTATGTGTAACCATGTTAAAAGCACACCTCTACATTTACAAAAGTGGGGCAGGATGGATTATCATAGAAAAAAAAAGAACATGGTGTTTGTCACCTGAGCAGCTCAACTCCTTCTTTTCAAACCCACAATATTTTTTTTTTTATTCAGGCAGGGGTTATCCACACCCAATTTTCTATGTCTTACCCATTTTGTTGCCTTCTCTCAAACCCCTCCCCTGCCCAATAGCTGGATTTCCTGGATCCAGCCACATGCCTAATTGACACTGCTTTTACTTCCTCAGTTGCCAACATATCTTCAGTGCCTGAACTGTACTTCCCATCTTCCTCTGAAAGAATAATCAATGGTCTGACTTACTTCTCTCAGGTACCCTCCCAAAAAACCATTCATTTACAACTGTATTTTCAAAAGTAGAATAATTATGATCTGTTCCTTTTGGCCTTTCAGAAGGAATAATTGAACTTGCTGCTACCATTGAGGCTCATTAGACCAAACAGGATAGTTTGGCAAAATGTCAGACTTGCAGACAGGAAGATCTGGTTTAAATCATCCCTCAGACAATTAGGCACTATGTGATCCTTGAAAAGGCAGTATATCTCAGCTTCAGTTTCCTCATCTTTAAAATATAGGTAATAATAGCACCTAATGAAATAACATATGTAAAGTATTTTGCAAACTTTAAAGTGCTACTTAAATGTTACTGGCTATTATTTTTGTGTGCATTTATATAGTACCTACTATGTTCTAGGTACTGTGCTAAGTATTTGTATAAATATCTCATTTGCTGCTCACAAAAAAACCTAGGAAATATTATTTTCCCCATTTTACTATGTAGGAAACTGAGGCAAATAGTTATTAAGTGAGTTGTCTAAGCTCACACAGCTAGTATCTGAAGTCTAAATTAAACTTGATCTTTTTTGTTTTCAGGCTCAGTGCTCTATCTACTCTACCACCAGCAGCTTGTTATTATTGTTATTGTTGTTATTAAATAGTCCCTTTTCTTGCCAAGGGGAATTACTTCTATATGCATTATTGATCAAATTCTATTCAGTATTTTCCAATATATTGCCCCCATGCCATCCCTACTTTCTCACTAAACTGTGATCTCTCACTATCATCTCATTACTTTTATGCTACCTATCAAAACATCCATGTCTTCCCCCATTCCTAAAAAATGTCCTCATTCAGTTTGACTATACTCACTAGATATCATCCTAGAACATTCCTCTAAACTCTTTGAGAATAATTTATCCTAGGAGGCTCCATTTCCTTTCCTCTCATTTTCTTCAAAACCATCTCTTGCCTTGCTTTCTACTTCATAATTTAACTGAAACGATTGTCTCCCAAGTTACCGATGATCTATTAATTGCCAAATCTAATAGCCTTTTCTCAGTCCTAATCCTTCTTGACTTTTAACAAACATTTGATCCTATCTAGAATTATCTTCTCTTAGATTCTCTTTCCTCTCCAGGTTTTAATGATAATGCTGCATCCTCATCAACCTCCTACCTGTCTGACCATATTTTCTCAATTTCTTTTATTGGATCTTCCTCCAGCTCATGCCAACTTTTCTCAAGTTTACCCAAAGAGTAGATCCTAAGACCTCTTCTCTTCTCCCCTTCTGTTTCTTGAATGATAGTGGTAGAGTGGTGGAAAAGTAGGGAGAAGGGTACTAATATCTATTTTTTAATCTATAAACTTTAACTTTGCCATTATAACTGTATATGTAAGATCCTTGAATAATTATAAATCCATGTATATACTATTAAAAGAGCAAAATCATATCAAACCTGACATTCCTGTTATAAATAAAATGAGAAGGAAACTGCAGCAAGATGGAAGCATGACTCACAGGTTCACCTTGGAGAAATTAATAAAGAAGTATGAGGAAGTGTCTTGCATCTAACAATGAGAAACATTTCATTGAACATTTGGCCATCTGATACTGCAGTAAGGATGATCATTATTTTAAAAAAAGACTCATGAAGATAATTGTAATGTATGCACACATAATTGTTGCTAAAGTTTCTTCTAGAAAAAAGCAAAACAAAATAAAAGAAACATCATATGATTTTCAAATTGTATTGACATAAGAGGTTATATTTACAAAGTACTTTTAGGATCACAAAATGGTTTACGTACGTCATTTCATGCTTGATGACTTTTATTCAAAGGTGGTTATGGGTGAGGATTGATATGAAAATACTGTACAGGAGTAAGGAAGGAAAAAAACAATGACATAGATGTTTCATGTCTGGTTACCATGAATATTTTATTCCAGGACATGATTAGAAGGTACTTAGCATGAAGAAAACACACACATGTGTGCATGAAAACCCAGAGAAGAAGACACATAGAAACCTGTAATACTTTGTCTATATACAATTAGATCCCCTAGGAAGTTTGGGGGGGAGGGAAAGCTGAGATGACAGAATGAAATAAATATTTTTTCTGAACTCTCCCAATATCGCTCTTTATAACAACTTTAAGAAATATAGAAAACCAAATTCTGCACAGAAAAAAGAAAGCAAGAAAAAGGCACAGTAGGTCATTTTTTCTAGCCCCAAAATAGCTTAGAAAAACAGAGAGGTCTGTGGATACTGGAATGGGGATTGTCCAGCAGTGGTATATGAGAAGTGGTAGTGCCATCTATGGGCTCTAGGCTGGCAGCAGTGGAAGCAGCAAATGCCCAGGGACAGTGAGGGAACTTAATATTTGGTTGGAAAGAGGCCCCAGAAGACCCCTGTACTGGAACTAGGATCAATTGCCATTCAGAAGCTCTGGAGTTCATTACCCAGTTCAGGTCAGAGTTCCAGGATTGAAAGGAATGATTACAGTCATAAGATAGCAGGGTCTTACCTGTGTAAGGAGACAGAAGACCAGGAGGACAGTAACCATACCACTCCCTGGATCACATGACTTTGGAAGCATCAAAAACTTAATGACACCCACTGAGTTGTAAAAGTAGTATAGGTTCATAAAAGACAGAACCTCAGGCCCAACATCCTCAACCTCACTCCCAGAGGTGAGCAGAAGCCAATTCTAACATAAAATTCAAAGTCAAGAAATAGTCTGGAAAAAATGAGCAAAACAAACAAACAAACAAACAAACAAACAAGAACCTGACCATAAACATCTACTATGGTGATAGGGAAGCTCAAGACACAAACTCAGAAGACAGTGGCTTGAAAATGTCTACAATCAAAGGCTCTGAGAAAAATGCAGATTAGACACAAGTAGAAAGAGAATTCCTAGATGAGTTAAAGAAGGAGACGTGAAAAAATGGGAAAAGAAATGAAGGCATTGCAAGAAAATTATAATAGAACAATTGACAGCTTGGTAAAAGAGGTACAAAATTTATTGAAGAAAATAACTCCTTAAAAATTAGAATTAGTCAATTGGAGGTGATTGACTCCATAAGACATAAAGAATCAATAAACAAAATTAAAAGACTGAAAAATGAAAAGAAAATGTGAAATATTTAATTGAAAAAAATGACCTGGAAAATAGATCAAAGAGAGATAATTTAAGAATTATTGTACTATCTGAAAGCCATGATTTAAAAAATAGTTTAGATGTCATTTTTCAAGAAATTATAAAGGAAAACTGCCCCAATATCATAGAATCAGAAAGCAAAATAGAAATTGAAAAAAAAATCCACTGATCATCTCTTGAAAGAAATCTCAAATGAAAATTCCCAGGGATATTATCATCAAAATATAGAATTCCCAAGTGAAGGAGAAAATAGTGCAAAGGCCCAGAAAGAAATAATTCAAAGACCATGAAGACATAGTCAGGATAATACATGATTTAACCACTTTTTACCACAATAAAGGAGTGAAAGGCTTGAAATATGATATTCCTGAGAAGTTAGGATCATAGAATAGCCTACCCAGAATGACTGAGTATAATCCTACAGGGAAACAGAAGATATTTAGCAGAATAGAGGACATTCAAATATTCCTGAAAAAAGAGCAGAACTGAATAGAAAATTTGACATTCAAACACAAGATTCAAGAAAAGCATAAAAAGGTAAACATAAGTGAGAAACTGAAAAGGACTTAAAAAGATTAAGTTAACTATATTCCTATATGCAAAGATGATATATGCCACCTCTAATACTTTTATCATCATTAGGGCCCGTAGAAGGAATCCACATAGGCATAAAACAGTAAGTCTATTATGTTGGGATGACATCAAGAGAAGAATGCAAGGGTAAGGAAGATGTATGCACAGGGAGGAGGGTGGAGGGAGAGGAAGAATTGGGGAAAAATTATCTCATACAGAATAAGTGAGGAAGGAAGAGTTTTTACAATGGAGGGAAAAGTAGGGATAGTGGAGGAGGCAGTGCTTGAACTTCATTCTCATCTGAACTGGTTCAAGGAGGGAAGAAAATATATACACACATTTAGGTGTAGAAATTCATTTTACTCAACAGGGAAGTAGAAGGAGAAGGGATTGAGAAAAGGGGGGTATAATAA